AATGCCTACGCCACCCCCAATATCGGTTCTCATCCTCGTACCACTACTCTTCTTCTTCTTCTGTACTGAGCCCGTAATTGCATGGCGCCCATGGCCTAATCAAACCCTCAACAAAACCGACTTCATCTTTGGTGGTTCAAAAAAATATGAGGGCTCATCGGAATTTGTTCAGTTGAAGTATCACATGGGACCTGTACTCACCGCCAATATTACCGTCTATCCTATTTGGTATGGCTCGTGGCAAAACTCCCAGAAACGTATAATCCGCGAATTCATCAGCTCAATCTCCTCCGTAGAAGCCAAGCCGCCGTCGGTGGCCGGGTGGTGGAAAACCGTCCAGCAATACACTGATCAGACAGGTGCGAATATTTCACGTTACGTTCACATTGGTGCTGAGAAGAACGACCGGTTTCTCTCCCACGGGAAATCACTAACCCGGCTTTCAGTTCAATCAGTTATAAAATCCGCCGTGACCTCCTCCACCCGCCCACTTCCGATCAACCCCAAGAGCGGGGTGTACCTTTTACTAACCTCGGAAGATGTGTACGTACAGGATTTCTGTAACAATGTCTGTGGGTTCCATTATTTTACCTTCCCCTCCATTGTCGGGTACACTCTACCGTACGCCTGGGTGGGTAACTCTGCTAAACTGTGCCCCGGCGTTTGCGCGTACCCCTTCGCCGCGCCGGCGTATATTCCAGGCCTGAAAGCGGTGAAATCGCCAAACGGCGACGTAGGAGTCGATGGGATGATAAGCGTGATTGCACACGAAATTGCGGAAGTATCCACGAACCCGCTGGTTAACGCCTGGTATGCGGGTCAGGACCCGGTTTTCCCAGTGGAGATTGCTGATCTTTGCGAGGGAATTTATGGAACCGGAGGTGGAGGATCATATACCGGGCAGATGTTCAACGGTGTAGATGGTGCCACGTACAACATGAATGGGATCCGACGGAGGTTCTTGGTTCAGTGGGTTTGGAACCATTTGGTGAATTACTGCACTGGCCCGAATGCACTTGATCAGTAAATGCTTCATTTACGAAATGGCCTTTCGTTTTGAAATTTGCACTTTTTGTTGATTAATTTACTTTGTTTTTTTGCTTATTAATGGATAATTAGTTTAGTCAAAGTGTGTTTTACTTTAAATCAAATTTGAAAAATAATGTTATTACAATCATTTAGTACTGTAGTCGTCCAATATATGTGTGACGATTATTGCATGAGATAATAAATTAACACATCAAGGGTTTGTTTGGGAGCGATTAAAATCAGATTAAAATTGAAAAACTAGCTGTTATTATTGATTTTTATTAGATGAATGAGATCTAATAATGGTTATATTTTTAATTTTAATTAGATTAGAATCTCTCCCAAACAATCTCCAAATTACTAATCGTTACGTGTTTATCACGTAGAACGATTATGATAACGAACGATTGCAAATAACATTACTCAAACTTTAAATTATAGTTTGTAATTTTGGAAGAGATGACATGCAACGTAAGGCAACACCTAGGGTTTTGTCCTTCAAGTACACACCTTCTGGTACTTTCGATTACACGGTCTTTATACTTCTAGTCGATGTTTGATTTATATTAAAATAAATAATTAATTTTAATTACGTATTTATGAATTTCATAACTTTTTCATCCACATATTTCATTATTTTCTATTAAAATTTGTTAAAAATCATATTGTAATCCCACCAAATATAGACTCAATTTCATTACACTTTAATTTCAATTATTAACGATACATCCTCACAATAAAATATTTTGCACGTAATCCAAAATTTTTTTTCCTATTTTTTAGCAATCCATTCTCCGAAAATTCACTATTAAAAAAACTTATTTTCTTTTAATAATGGTAGACAAATATAACTTAAAACAAGAATTAGTCTCTGTTTGGCTTCCATTTTTAAAATTAATTTTTAATCAAACTTAGGGGTGTTCGGTAGAGATTAAAATTGAAAAACTAACCGTTATTGTTGACTTTTATTAGACGAGTGGGACCCAATAACGACCATATTTTCAATTTTAATTGAATTTTAAGCTGTACCGAACAGGCCCTTATCTCTAATCATACATTTTATAAGATCCAACTTTTATAAAACTTGTTGTCGGATTTTGACAAATTTACTTATATTTTTCTCATAGCTGATCTCAACTCTTATTACATTTTATAATTCATAGCAAAGAAAATAATACTATGATAAGTTGAAAATCATCACAAAACTTTTATTACATTTTATAATTCATTTTTCAAACAAAGCAACAAAAATAGAAGCCCCCATGCATCCAGTCCCGGCCGACCCCACTGACAAGATATTTGTTTCTGCTCAATAAAACATATTTCATTAAATAATCAAACTTTGTACGGTTAATGATGAATAATATTTGGTTTACAGCTAGGTCGAGGAGTGGGGGAAGAAATAAGAAATTTGATTATTTGGCATTATGTGCAAGTTGGCAAATAATGTCCCCATTGACAAGAAAATTAATATTCAATAATTTATTTCAATTTATCACGTCATTAGAGGTAAATCCTAAATCCTTTTATTTTTAAGTTACTATTAAAGCTTTTTTTAGAAACAATTCAAATGAACATAGCCATTCGACATAAAATTCATCGATGGGGCTACTCGACCGAACATGAGTCGGTTCGTGCTAGGTTAACGTAAAGTTCATATTTAAAATTAACTTGCATGCAAAACTCAGTAGTATCAAAGACCACTGCACAGTGCAGACCATGCTATGGTTTTAAGTAAGACAACAGGAGCTTGGTCGTACCTCGTATTTCTATAGACACCTCAGACTGGCATGCTAGAAATACCGACCGTGCCTCGACCCTGTCCAAGCATGGCCAGACCATCCAGTTTTACACCAGTAGTGGTACTCCTTGTAGATGGCTCTGTTATTCCCTCTGGAGTAGTCAAATTTCAGCTCATGTTATATAGTGAGTCTTGCTAGCTTCAATTGACCACAAAATCATATTCAACTGACGCAGTTCATCAAATTGAAGAAATATTGTGAAGCATTTGTAGAATACAGTAAAAAACAAAAAAGTTTAAAGTTACTGCTGAGGCCATTTGGCCCCATTTAGAGCCCGCTTAAATATGAATACCAACTTGATTGCTTTTTTTGGTCAAATGCTTAAATGCGAGTGACCCATTGCTTTCATTTAGAGAAGGCATATGCTAATGAGAATCAATGACGTGCTCTAAGATTATTCGGGAGAGAAGGGGGGGGGGGGGGGG